GCTTATTATTATTTATTGTTGTTTATTACTGTTATTATTATTATTATTGTTGTTGTTGTTATTTTTATTGTAAGTAATCTGGATCTCATCCTGAATGATATCTTCCTTTGAGTTGCTTTCCAACTGATCGCCTCAATTTTATTTATTATTATTACTTGTTGTTTGTTTAATAACAATAATAACATTACTATATTCAATCCACCAGATCATGTTTCATGAGACCCATCAAAATAATAAACAGAATAATAACAACAGAAAAGAATTGATAACGAGAAATAACCGTAACAATAATAATAATAATAATGAACCACCATACAGCTGAAAGGATATAAAAAACGAAAAGTAAATAAAATTAAACTGATTTTAAAAATTCGTAACAAAGCAATGTCCAAATCAGCGTAGTACAATAAATAATTAAAATAATAATAATAATAAACAATCTAAAATCGAGTATGAATTATTTCAGGCAATATGGTACCTTCCCGCAGCCTGAATTAAATTTTTCACAGAACTGCGAAACGCCTAAATAAAAAACCACACTTTTACAATATACACAATCATAACAGTAGTAATATCAGTAAAACTAATAATGACAAAAGTAATAAATAGTAACAGTAACGAACAATAATAAAAACAATAATGAATTGATTATTAATGATACGATTTTATTAACCAGACTTCTGCTACGTAGAAATATGAGCAACTGACATTTGATCCATTGCTTGTTGCGCTGTATATACGAAGTCTTATCACTCCATTTCAGTACTGATAACGATAATGATAATAATAACAATAATAATAATAACAACAATAATAATAATAATAATAACAGTAATAATAAATAATAATAATAAGTGATAATGAATAACAATAACAAGCAACAATGATAATATAGCACCAAGACAAGATCATTCAAGCGGTGATATGATTGCGTAAGAAAATGAATAGTTGATATTTAATCCACTGTTTGTTGTGGGGTATATACGAAGAAGTCTTATCACTCCATACCAGAACTGATAGGTCTGATAAGCGATCGATAAACTGCAATACGGCACTGATATCGTAACCGATATCCTCATTCATCTCCGATGATAACATCGCCAATTTTACACTCTCTTTCACTTGATCTTCGTACATCTTACGTATATCTGCATATTATCATTATTCAATTTATTATCACCATTATTATTATCAGTTGTAATTGAAGCATTCTAGCAATTAGAATAAGTGAAATAATTAAATTAATTATTGATTATTACCTTGAAAACACTCATCCAAAGTTTCGTAATCGATCCAACAACGAGACTTCGGTTTCGTCGTCGATTGTATCAACAATATTGTATGCGACATTTTTATTGTATTATAATAATTTTT